CTAATAAAAAAGAGCTACACTTGTGAAAAAGAAGTGTTAATTGTATTGTCTGCAGTGCACTTCAAATTGTAAAAATGTGTTGTTAAAAAAGGCAAATAATATAATAGTAGTGATTTAATGTTATTAAAATGTTAAATATAATGTTAAAGTACATTTTAAATCATTGTTTTAATAATATGTTGTCAGGCCTTTAAGAAGTAAATGTATTTTGATGTAACATGCTTGATTGTGATTTTAACTGTAGTGTGATATTCAAATATTATGTTTAAAGTTAATATATTTTAAAGGTACTGAACTGCCACTTCATGACGGGAAATGTGTAACAACAAATATATTAAAATACATGAAATACAAGATTCAAATGACTTTAAATGGTTAAATGCTTGTCAGTATATTCAGAAGTACACTTTTTTAACCAAATTTCAAATAATTATGAAATGACATATAAAGATGTACTTACGTGGGTCAAAAGCACTCAAAATATAAACTAAATTAAACTAAAAACTATACATTTGGTTCGAATATATGCTAATAAATAGTAAATTCTTTTAAATGTATTTTCATAATAAACACTGCTTAAAAGTGTGCTAAAGCATGCTTATTTTTCACAAGGGCACATAGCCCTGTGTTGGTATAAAAGTTAATCTAACCATAAATACTGAATACACATGCAGCGAGTGAGCTGAAGGTATAAAACCCTCTTCAGATAGCTGAGCGAGGCGCTTGTGAATGGATTGCTGTTCACTCAGCCACGTAACGTCTTTTCTCTAGGAGGGCAAACACCCACTACAACTGGATGTGGCAGAAGAGAGAGGATTTATGGTCCCATTGACTCGGTCCCTCTCTTCCTCCATTATATCCTCCTGTCTTTTTGTTGGCCCCAGGGGCACAGGCTGCCAGGATGTATCAGTATATCTATTGATGACGGCCGACGGCTGTGTTCTGCAGGCAGATGTCCTCCCCTCCACTGGGTAAAACCACAGTAAAAAAACCCTCTGCTCTTTGATACCTCACCCAGCCCTCCAAACATCTGCTAATCATTGGCACTGGAGATCTCAAAACCAATGCTCTGCACAGCTCAACAATGCCTTTATGATCAGGCCTAAAAATAGCCTGCTTTGTTCTTTATTTGCTCTGAAGTTCTAGGTGAGAAAAAAGCCTCAGTATTGCTTATATACTGCCATGAAACTGATCGTGAACCATTTCTGTCAGCTTGTTGAGGTTTGCTATTACTTTGTGACTGGACTTACAAAGCAGATTAAGTAAAATCCCATCGACATTGATGGAGGGAACTAGAGAGCAGAATACTCAAAACAATCTCATAGCAATTTGTAACTATTTTACAGTTTGGTGAATTGGTGGCTAATTTGTATGATCTTATTTGTGGGTCTTCGTGCAATCTGCTTATGCACGGTTATGTTTAGGGGTTGACCTTCATGCTTGTTTTTTGGTCTAAAAAACATTTTCATACGATTAACATGGTACAAATGCAAGGATCATTGGAAATATGTGCTTGTGGCATTGTTTCTACCTTATTGCATGTTTTGCAAAAGTTTCAAAGCACAATTTCCAGTGAGTGGCGCTAAAACGCGTGTTCAATACGTGACCATGGCCATGTTTTTATTATGATGGTTCAGGCACGTATTGCTGCATTTTTATTACGTTGCTTCATGTATTTATTGCGCCGGTTCAGAATGCAAATGTCTTGTTGGAAATACCCGCTACGCCAAACCCAACCCTAAACCTACCCGATAGTGTTAACGAAAGCAAAAGTGATATAAAAACACATTCGCTGATGCAACCGTGCTATTTTACCTTTCTTCTACATGGGTTTGAGCTGTTGTGTCAAACTGTAGTTTCACAGGATTCATACCGGAGCATTTCAGCAAACCTCGAGTCAGGAAACCCATACGTATGAAGCTTCATATGTGACAATAACGTTCAATAGTAATAGTTTTTAAAGGTGGGGTAAGTGATTTCTGGTAGCCAATGTTGACATTTGAAATCACCAAAACAAACACGCGCCTACCCCAAAAGGGTCTCGCCCCTATTTTGATAGCTCCGCCCCACACATACGTACGCAACTCAGGTAACGATTAGTACTGTGAAACAAAGCAAAACCAATCTTACACTGTGTCTACATCGGACGCGAGTGGGTTGTTATGACCCAGCGGTTGGGTTCAAAACAACCCAACCGCTGGTTCAAAACAACACAATAGCTGGGTTTGTCCCTTTTTAACCCAGCGCTGGGTTATATTTAACCCAGCATTTTTTAGAGTGTACATATATATGGTTTACACTGGACATGACAAATCCCCGACAGAAAACTGCTGCTGCGTTCTATTCATGACGTATTGACACAAATTTCAGATGATTTTCAACGGTCGCTTTGTCGCGTCCAGTGTACTAGACAGACTTTAGCTGTTGCGGCGCAGACACGGTGTTACTCACCTATCGAGAAGAAACAAAGCAACCTCAGCGTCCGATCGCAGGCCTTCCGAGTTCTCTCCAGCGCTGGAAAGTTGATCCGATATTTACACTGGTCCTACTTCTTGCCTTATTGCTTTAAGACTTCTTTTGTTCCGCAGACGTTTTCCGCTTTTGTTTTTTATCCGCCATCTCTATCTTTCTGTCGCTCGGCTCGGCTAATGTCCGTCCCGTGCACTGAACGCTCTCTCCTCCACATCATGAGTAGACACGCCCCTTACTGCTGATTGGCTACAAGTTTGTTTTGCTACTCGGCCCGAATCAGTTTTCTAAAGCGTTTTTGAAAAATAGCTTACCCCACCTTTAAACCTCGCAGCACAGTAAAATTGTCATAACATAATATTGTGCAAGGAATTGTGTGAAAATTCGGCTTCATTAATCAAAACTCTGGCCCTGTAAATCATAATTTGTGTGAAAAGAAATAAAAGTTCAGTCAGTGTTCTACTGCCTCTTCTGATCATTTCAACTGGAAACTGCAGTGATTCATACGTATAGGTACGTTTTTGAGTTTTGCAGAAATGTAAATAGATGCACGTATATCCAATGAGCCTGGCTAGCACAAATTCATACATATCACCACCTTTAAAATAGCTATGTTTTCTCATGAAATCAGGTTGGAATATCATAGAAACTTTGTTGTGGCCACCTAGAACTCACTATCAACCATAAATCAACACCCTGACAGTCACCAACAGAACTTTATTATGGTAGCAAGCTCTGCAAAACCATGAAAGAAAATCTTCAGAAATGTACAAATCTGGTTCAATCTGTCAACATTTCCTCGCTTCCAATATCCAGGAGTTCCAACTGTTTTTGTGAGTTTACTCCGAAGCTCTTTGTTATTTATCAGCTTGTGCTTGCAGCTCCAAAACGGAGATACTTCACACACTTCCTCCAAAGAACCTCACCTTGAACCTCACTCACATTCAAAAGACAAGTGGAAAAAACAAGTTTTGTGCGTTTCGTGTTATGCAGTAGTCGTACATGTGTGTGCGCATGAGAGATTGTAATGTACCAGCATCCTGACCTACAGCCCACCGTGTAAAGGGTTCATGCATCACTCCTCAGCAGGGGTCTTACAGCTTAGACCACTTACTTAAACATTAGCATTTCTACCAGCCATTTCCTCTCTATTAGCTCCAGAGATGCTGCACATGATACAAGGTCTTGCCTCTATTTTGACCTGGTGTCCACTTTTAGACGTCAAGGGTTGTTGTGACATCATTGCTAATATATGACAACTGCACTCAACTCAAAAGACACATTATAAATATGTATGTCCACTCTGCAAAGACAATATGAACAACATAAATACTTATATGTTACAAGGAAATTGCTTGTTACAAATGTGCATATGGCAACAATTATAGAATCGCCAGACCTAAAATCCGTAAACTCCTGACTCCAATCTTCCTAACATAAAGACCAACACTCGTCCAACACTCGAAAGCAAAGAGCTTTTACACAAATGACACATATTAACAGAGGAGTGTTTGTAATTAGCTTCTTTCCAATCACCGTCCCATGAGCCCAGCATGAAGCCCAGTTAAGGATATAAAAGTGACAGTGATTTGACACTTAGTCTTAATATATGACAACGAGCCAGCCATTTTGTGCGTTACAGCATGCAAATGAATAACCACAATCCTGAGAAATAATGCATGAGAAGTTATCAAGCAGCTGTGTGGTGCTGTTCAGGAGATATGTGCTGGGCTGGGCTGGGCTTTCAGACTAAAGCTCATTGTAACTGTCAATCAAAACAGGATAACGGTACTAATGCTCAGCATCCCCATCACACAACCCTGCACTTCAAGCATCCTTAAACCACAAAATGCCATGGTTTATCCCATTAGTTTCAGTTTGGGTCTCATCTTTTTCTTTAATCTTCTATTAAGTTTATATATATATATATACAGTATAGAGGAAGTCATTCATATGATAATCTTTTCCTAGTGAACTTCAAATCTTTCCACATGCCTCACAGTGCACTCTACGCAATTGACTGCTACCTGTAAATCCCCTCAAATAGAGGATAAAGAATACTTGCCAGTGTTTGAAGGACCCTCATTTGTCTGAATGTGACCCTCCTATTGCTTCAGCTTATGTCTAACAGGCTCTTGGATTTGTGGTTGAACGCAATGATTTAACCAGTCGATAATATAGATGTTAGACGTCTATATGTATATATATATATATATATATATATATATATATATATATATATATATATATACAAAATAATATAGCCTAATAAAGTTGAATACATGAGAAAAAATAAGTATTAACTAAAAATGCATTAAAAGAAATTCAAAATAAGATTGCAGAGCTGTGAAAAAATAAATAAAATGAGCATTGGTAAATTAAAGAGGAATACATAAGGTAACTGGGAGTTAAACGTCATGCAAATGATGCATAGAAATGATGAAAAAGTCAAACTAATAGCGCCGATAATTGTGATATGAGCCAGCGTTTCTGCAGAGATCACGGTCCCTCCAGCTCTCCTCTCATCGTACCTGCTTTGAAGAAGGCATCCGTGTCTGGATCATTGGGTCCGTCCTCCGCCGCTTCAGCAGAATTCATCTTTCCTCTTAGATCTCACAGTTCAAGATAACGGGGAATATATCCAGATTCAGCGCTCCATCATCTCTATATGTCTGTGTTTTGACGGCACAGCCCTCGCCCAGAGCGACAAAGCGCAGCTCTGCATCGGCTGCTATTGTCTCCAGATGCGCCTCTCCTCCTCAGATCGCTCTCTTCGCTTCTTCTGAGTCGGTTCTTTTGAACCGGTTCACCAAATCACTGGTCGACTCTTTCGCGAATTGGTCTGATCCGGTCGGAGCGGTTCTCAGAAAGAGAGAGAAAAAGAAAATATCAAAAGACAGAATTGTGGCTGTGCATAGGTGCTATTTACAGATGAAAAGTTTTGATAAGTTATCTTGTCCGACAAAGAGATTTAAGGCAAAACATTGTAGTATTAGAAACAAGAGAATAATTAGCCTAATGTGAGCAATTTTCAACTTGCAAAGAAAAGCAAATGAAACAGGACTTCATGTTACATTAGTCTCACTTAGTGTGAATTATAAAACACATCGAAACTGAATGCTGTGGATTAGCCTAAAGTAGGCTGACTTAATCAAAACAGTATAAAGAAATACGGTGCATATATCGGCATGTATTGTTTAAAGATTTTCACATTGTCACTTGGGTACGGGTGTGACGTAAAAGTACCGATGAATCTTTTCTGAATGAACTGCTCAAAAGAACCGATTCGCGAAAACGAGTCGGAGCAGCTCAACACAAAGCGGCGCGCGGGCTGTGTGTGTCAGATGGGAAAGAGCTGGGGGTGGCATGAATCCTGCAGCGTGTCAGCGGGCGTGTTGGTCACTCTTTTCCTCTCTTATAAATATTTTCTTTAAAAAGTTAACGAGTTATTTTAGAAACCTAAGCACACTCATTTAGATGGCCTCCCGAAGCGCCAGAGACTGTGTTTGCGGCTGTGGATTGTAGGCTGTTTTTCCAACAATAGAGAGCAGAAGGGAAATGTGTGTGTGTGTGTGTGTGTGTGTGTGTGTGTGAGAGAGAGAGAGAGAGAGAGAGAGTGTGTGTGTGTGTGTGAGTGTGTGTGAGTGTGTGTGTGTGTGTGTGTGTGTGCGAGAGAGAGAGAGAGATAGAGAGTGTGTGTGTGTGTGTGTGTGTGTGCGAGAGAGAGAGAGAGATAGAGAGTGTGTGTGTGTGTGTGTGTGTGTGCGAGAGAGAGAGAGAGATAGAGAGTGTGTGTGTGTGTGTGTGTGTGTGCGAGAGAGAGAGAGAGATAGAGAGTGTGTGTGTGTGTGTGTGTGTGTGCGAGAGAGAGAGAGAGATAGAGAGTGTGTGTGTGTGTGTGTGTGTGTGCGAGAGAGAGAGAGAGATAGAGAGTGTGTGTGTGTGTGTGTGTGTGTGTCTGTGTGTGTGTGTGTGTGTGTGTCTGTGTGTTGTGTGTGTGTTGTGTTGTGTGTGTGTGTGTTGTGTTGTGTGTATGTGTGTGTCTGTGTTGTGTGTGTGTGTGTCTGTGTGTTGTGTGTGTGAGTGTTGTGTGTGTGTGTGTCTATGTGTTGTGTGTGTGTGTCTGTGTGTGTGTTGTGTGTCTGTGTCTGTTTGTGTGTGTGTGTGTGTGTTGTCTGTGTGTGTGTGTGTGTGTGTGTGTGTGTTCTCTGTGTGTGTGTGTGTGTGTGTGTGTGTGTGTGTGTGTT